AGCTATCCCTGCTTGACCGAAGTGCAGGCCCGTCATACCCACGAGCTATATGTAGGCTTCCGAAGTTTGTCGCAGACAACTAATCATTATTGTGAAGTTGGTAGGTGCAGGGTCCTTTCAATCAGCTGTTGCCTGACTTTCGGGTTTTAATAACTGATTTGGTCAGGCTTCTTGTCTGGCGGTATAGAAGGAGCCGAAAACGGATGTTTAAGCCCTGTACGCGAGTTACTACACGGGCTTTATTTGAGTCAAGGCGCTTCCGACAATACGAGTTGCATTTGATTACTGGCTCAGTTGACACCTATTTAAAATGCGTTCTCAGTTGGTGAGTAGTCAAAAACTGTCATTGTCTGTAGGTTGACAGGACCGTTCTTACAGATGCTCTTGGGAAATCGCGGGCTTAAGCATGACGCGGACTCCCGTCCTCTCGGGGCCGCGAAACTACGAGTTTCCGGAATCGCTGTGTTCGACGCTGCTTCAGCGCATACACTAAAGGCTTTTCTTAGTCTCGCCAAGGGTAATATGAAGCCCGTTGACTTTTTATATTGTAAAATTCAGTCTTGTCTACTGTTGGACGATATTTAGAATATCTTGAATTTCATTTATGAAGAATGCATAAAACCGACGTTCGATATCCCTGACGGTCTATTTGAATCAGCCGCTATTTTTTATTGTTTGTTTAATTCCTCAGATATACAAGAAGGAAGCGGTAGAAATAATGATAGCTACAGGATCGATGGAGAGGTTTTTCCCGGTGACAACATTTTTATACCGCAGTTTCGAATTCCCTGCACGGTATTGCGAAGCATGCTAGATTTGAAGAGGTTCAAGCTTGTCTTTCAATCTTATTAATGCTTTAACTGTTTTCTTCGATGGCGAATGGTTACGCTAATCAAACAAATAATACCGAAACCGAAAACGATGTACATCAGAATTCTACTTTTGCATCTTCGGACTGTTTTCAGCAGTCTGTCCTCATACGAATCTAATAAGAGGTTTGCTCGCGCTCTGTGAAGGATGAAGACATGGGAGCTACGATTGGGGAAGGGGTTGAGCGAGAGTTGCACATTGGGGATGTGGGGTGAGCGGCGATTTAAAAGTGGTGTTTACAATAGGTGTAGGATGACTGC